GGGGGTCTCAGAGTGGCTAACACTGGTAACAATTTGATGCCGCAATATCATAACACAACAACAATAAAAACTATAAAAACGTAATAGATTAAAACAATAATATTAATTATACAATCATATCCGTTTCCATTATCATAACAATCATCATGTGGTCCAGTTCAATGTCCAAAGTGCCGTTGTGCCTGCTAGCCAAAAGCCTGGTTCCAAAATCACAATTTCAGTTTTTTCTTTCACCTTAAGAACAGACAAGAATCCCGAGCTCTGAGGATGACCTGGGAAGAAATCCCACTGGAGCATTGCAGCACACCCAAATCCCTGGGAGTCACTCTGGACCGTGCTCTGACCTACAAAAAGCACTGCCTGAACATCAAGCAAAAAATGGGTGCTAGAAACAATATCATACGAAAGCTGACTGGCACAACCTGGGGATCACAACCAGACACAATGAAGACATCTGCCCTTGCGCTATGCTACTCTGCTGCTGAGTATGCATGCCCAGTGTGGAACACATCTCACCACACTAAAACAGTGGATGTGGCTCTTAATGAGACATGCCGCATTATCACGGGGTGTCTGCGCCCTACACCACTGGAGAAATTACACTGTCTATCCGGTATTGCACCACCTGACATCCACCGGGAAGAAGCAACCAATAGTGAAAGGACCAAGGCAGAGACATCTCCAGCTCATCCCCTGTTTGGGTATCAGCCAGCACGTCAACGACTTAAATCAAGACATAGTTTTCTAAGATCTACAGAGACACTCGCTGGAACACCTCAGCAAGCGAGAGTCCAAAAGTGGCAGGCTCAAACCCAGAACCTCAATCAATGGCTGATACCAAATGAGAGACTCCTCCCTGGGCACACAGAAAACTGGGCAACTTGGAAGGCACTGAACCGACTGCACTCTGGCACACGAGATGCAGAGCCAACCTTCAGAAATGGGGCCACAAAGTGGAATCCACGACATGCGAGTGTGGAGAAGAGCAAACCACTGACCACCTGCTGCAATGCAACCTGAGCCCTGCCGCATGCACAATGGAGGACCTTCTTGCGGCAACACCAGAAGCACTCCAAGTGGCCAGATACTGGTCAAAGGACATTTAATCAACTACCAAGCTTGCAAATTCTGTGTTTTGTCTGTTTGTTTGTTTGTTTTTGTTAAAAATGTAATACAAATGTCTGGTTGCTGATGACACGATAAAGTTTTTTCTTAAAGGAAAGGAGGGAGGATGCCAATCTAATCTCGCTGGGAAGCAAATTCCACAAGCGGGGGGTCACCACCGAGAAGGCCCTGTCCCTCGTCCCCACCAGACGCGTTTGCGAGGCCGGTGGGACCGAGAGCAGGGCTTCTGCGATGGATCTTAAACTACAAGGTGGAACATAGAGGGAGATACGTTTGGACAAGTAAGTAACCAAAATCAACATGTATAATTTCTTGAACACATATTCAATATTTTACTCCCTATCTTTATGTATGTGTTTGATAGCACAAATATGTCCAAAAATTAACTTCGGAAATTATAGGAACATTTGACCAACTGAAGTTAGGCCACATTCGTTATCGCAAGCCCTCAAATCAGGACATTTGATGAGTTGCAAAACCGTTTTTACTAACTTAATACTTTTTTTTTTTGTAATGGATTTTAAGGTCACATTCGCTGATTGACACTTTCATACTGTGTGTTGCATTGAAATATCCCATTCACAATTCTAGTTAATCATATGAGCCATCAAGTCAAGGAACAAAACAACAACAACATTTGACAGAATGTATCAAAATGTGTATGCGAGTGTGCAATAAATGTATATATGAATATACAATTCGGATTTTGTGCTGTGTTCATTACTTCTAAGCCTTATGTGCTATTGTTTGTAATCCTAATTGGATGACTAACTGACCAACGCAGCAAAAATTGTGAATTGTGTGCCCCAGCTGTCAATCAGCTTGCTCTTTGTATAGAGTTGGAGAGTTACTGTACCAACCCAATTGGAGCAGAACAGCATTCATTTCATATATCCAATCAGAACATTATGCACTGGAAAGTTCCAACAAAATCAAGAAGTGAAAAATAAATCTCCAAATGAATATGATATTTCAAATTTATCAACAGTAAATTGAAAGATACCTGTGTATTATAACATGGAAAGTGGATTTCTGTGTTTTTATTAAGTAGGTAGAGAGGATTTCAGGAATACCCGTTATTCTTCTTCATGCATTATAATCATAGAATCCTAGAATCAAAGAGTTGGAATATTGCATTCAAATCACCCCTGACAGATGGCCATCCAGCCTCTGTTTAAAAGCTTCCAAGGAAGGAGCCTCCACCACACTCCGGGGCAGAGAGTTCCACTGCTGAACGGCTCTCACAGTCAGGAAGTTCTTCCTCATGTTCAGGTGGAATCTCCTCTCTTGTAGTTTGAAGCCATTGTTCCCTTGCGTCCTAGTCTCCAGGGAAGCAGAAAACAAGCTTGCTCCCTCCTCCTCCCTGTGGCTTCCTCTCACATATTTATACATGGCTATCATATCTCCTCTCAGCCTTCTCTTCTTCAGGCTAAACATGCCCAGCTCCTTAAGCCGCTCCTCATAGGGCTTGTTCTCCAGACCCTTGATCATTTTAGTCGCTCCTCCTCTGGACACATTCCAGCTTGTCAATCTCTCTCTGGAATTGTGGTGCCCAGAATTGGACACAATATTCCAGGTGTGGTCTAACCAAAGCGGAATAGAGGGGTAGCATTACTTCCCTAGATCTAGACACTATGCTCCTATTGATGCAGGCCAAAATCCCATTGGCTTTTTTTGCCGCCACATCACATTCCTGGCTCATGTTTAACTTGTTGTCCACGAGGACTCCAAGATCTTTTTCACACATACTGCTCTCGAGCCAGGCCTCATCGTCCCCCATTCTGTATCTTTGCATTACTTCTTAAACCAGTGGTTCTTAACCTGTGGACCGCAGACCACTAATGGGCTATAAGGATGAAAATCTGGTCTGCGATAAATGGAGCTTCCGTCCACTCCACTTATTTTATTTTATTTTATTTTTTACTGCTCCCTTTGCATCACCTGCCACTCCTTCCTTGTCACTGACCTTGGCATATGTTCTGTATCAGAAACCAGAGCTGATGTGATCTATCCAATGCAATTTCCTGAATCAGCACCCAAACCGAATCTAAAGTTGACCAAAAACTGATTTGTAAACCTTTTGGTACTAATGTTGAAGAGTGGTCCCTGATCATAGTGGTTCTTGATCATAGTGGTCGCTGGTCAAGTAGCCCTTGGTCGAAGTGGTCCCAGTCAAGTGGTCCTTGGTCAAAAAAGGTTGAGAACTACTGTCTTAAACCTACTAAATGTTGGAGTTCAGCCTGTGATTATGTTTCAGGATCAGGGTGCTGTGGATGTGGGAAGTGATGCCAATGAATTTCAACGACTCCGGCCCTGTTTACCTCTCCGAACGTATTCTCCCCTACGAACCATCAAGATTATTACGATCGTCTGGAGAGGCCCTGCTCTCGGTCCCACCGGCCTCGCAAGCGCGTCTGTTGGGGACGAGGGACAGGGCCTTCTCGGTGGTGGCCCCGCGACTCTGGAACTCTCTCCCACTGGAGATCAGAACCGCCCCTTCTATCCTGATATTTAGGAAACAGGTGAAGACTTGGTTATGGAGACAGGCATTCGACGAGTGAGCCAACACCCTGAGATATGGATGGAGGATGATGAGCAACGATTTTAGTGTGACGACTGACCATTGTAGTTATTGATTGTAATTGCTGTTTTAATGTTTTACTGTAATATGTATTATGATGTTTTATTGATTGTATGTGGTATTATGGTTGGAAACCGGTCTGAGTCCCTCAAGAGAGGTGAGAAGGTCGGTATACAAAACTTTTAAACAATAAATAATAAATAATAACATGGCAATGGTTTGGTCAATGATACTGATGCAGAGAAGGACCAGGAGACCCCTGTGCAAAGTGTAGTTTCCCATGAGAATGTCCCTGAAGGGTGTGGGGATGATGGCGTACTCCCTGAATTGCTACCAGAGAGTTCCCAGGATTTGGGGCTTGAAAACAACTGGGCGCCTGGCCCAGCTGCAAGACTGAATGAGCAAATAGATAGGCGAGAGGAAATTAGTCAAAACAGGCATACCGAACAGTGGCTTCGGCAGTCCGCCAGGATCTGCCAGAAAAAGATAAGGGAATCTCAAGTAAAGCAAAACCAATTTCTGCGTGATTGGAATAGTTTAACGAGGGGATAAAAGTTCCAAGTATGGGAAATATAGTCAGATGAAGCATCGTTTGGAATCCAAGTGTAGTTCTTGTCCATGTTTCATGGAAGCCTTGTTTGGAAGATTCTTGTCTAAATATTTCTTGTTTCATGGTTTGGATTCTTGGATTGTGTGAATCCATACTCATGCCTTGGATTATTACTAACGAAGGTCAGAGCAACAGGACACATACTTTTGAAATGGTACCAGATAAACAATCAAAAGCTGGAGATAGGGAAAAAATTGCAGTTTGTATACAGCAGCAAAATCAATGGTTTCCTTCCTCAACGGCAAATAATTTGCATGAATCTGTTGGACAGACACTTCCCTTTCTCCAATGGCTAATAGAGCTTGAGTAGAGCTATTTTTGCCATGTCCCTTTCTATGTCACTATTGTCAGCTTCAGATGTCAAATGCAATTGGAGCTATAATTACATTTTAAAAAATAGCCTTAAAATGACATTAAAGGCTGAAATTGGAACTTCTTATACTTACGCACAGAACTTCTAAGATTAGCAGCAGGTCTCACATTTCATTTGGTAGATGCTGCATTGGATAGGCAGCTACTATATTTCAAAAGATTCGTTTCGAGCCCTGATTATTACCTCAGTTTCTGAGTTAGACAGAATACATCCTCCCAGGGCCATTAAAACAGTGACAGCTCCTTTTGTGGGCATGGTTTGGAATGAATGTTCTCAGGGCCATCTATAAGGTGGACCCCTGATATACATACCTCCCAACTGTCCCGGTCTGGCAGGGAGAGCCTGGATTCCTCTTTGGTCAATCCGCTTCTTCAGCTGCTCTTAAAGTGTCCACATTTCTCTCTCCTCCTGTTTTTCCCTTTTGTCCTCAGCTTATTTCAATTGGCATAAACTGAAATGAGAATGAAATGGAGTAATTGGCACTCAGTGAACTCAACAGGATGGAGAAGATGAGTAGAGGTGGAATCTTGTGCTTCTCAGGCCCCATCTACAATCTATATAAATAAAAATGTAATGTCAGTTTGTGGGATTAACAGAACTCAAAAACCAGTGGGCCAATTGACACCAAATTTGGACACAAGACACCTAACAACTCAATGTATGTCCCTCACTCATTTGGGAGTTGAAGTTGCTGGGATTTATAGTTCACCTACAATCAAAGAGCATTCTGAACTTCGCCAATTATGGCATTGAACCAAACGTGGCATACAGGACTCCCATGACCAACACAAAACACTAGAAGCGTTTGGTGGGCATTGACCTTGTGTTTGGGAGTTGTAGTTCACCTACATCCAGAGAGCACTGTGGACTCAAACAATGATGGATCTGGACCAAACTTGGCACAAATATTCCATATGCCCAAATATGAACACAGATAGAGTTTGGGGGAAATAGACCTTGACATTTGGGAGTTGTAGTTGCTGGGATTTATAGTTCACCTACAATCAAAGAGCATTCTGAACCTCACCAATGATAGAATTGGGGCAAACTTCCCACACAGACCCCTATGACCAAGAGCATTCGTAATTCGCAATAATTTCAGAAAAATTTGCCTTTTGAAGCAATTTCGAAGTTTTTAAGGAAACCAGAAGTTCCTTTGCCCTTCTGAAGCTTTTTCCGCCATTTCTGTTATGAAGCAATAAGTGAGTTGGAAATTATTCAGCTTTTGGTCCCTGGCCTTGGCTCAAGCCAGAGAAGCTGTTTTAAACCAGAGTGGATGAATCTCCTCCCTTTCCTTTTCCCCGCTTCTGTCTCAAGCCTGGGAAGCCATTTTAAACCAGAGTGGATGAATTTCCTCCCTCCCCCCCCCCTTTGCTTTTGTCTAAAGCCAGAGAAGCCGTTTTAAACCAGAGTGGATGCTTTTCCTCTCTTTCCTCTTCCCCCGCTTCTGTCTCAAGCCTGGGAAGCCATTTTAAACCAGAGTGGATTAATTTCCTCTCTTTCCTCCCCCCCCCCTCTGCTTCTGTCTCAAGCCTGGGAAGCCATTTTAAACCAGAGTGGATGAATTTCCTCTCTTTTCTCCCCCCACTTCTGTCTCAAGCCAGAGAAACCAGTTTTAAACCAGAGAAGGAAGGAATATCCTCCGCTTGCTTTTCCCCTCTTCTGGAGTAAAACAACTACTTTCAAAGTAAAGACCACCCAATGAAACAGGAAATAATACTTTCAAACCATTAAGGAAGGATTCAGAAGTCTCGGAAGTTTTGAAAAGTTCTGAACATTTTTTTCTGTGAAAATCAGAATTGACTTTAGAATCGAACCACATCTGAAACGAGTTTTGAACCATTTTATTTGTTCAAACAAGCCTACTAAACACAAAAAGGGGACAGAATGTGATGTAAACTTTTGCAAACTTAAAAAATAAATCTAAGAATCTCCAAACATCCCATGCTTTCCTATAGTAGAAAAGAGTTATTCTACTGCCACTTCCTTCTGGGAGGCTGGGGGTGAGGAAGGATGAGATCCCCGTTGAATAACGTCGATTTTAGCATGCAAAAAAGCTTTAACAACACGACTTGTTTTTAAGCAGGCTGCAAGAGACGACCTGCCCCCATCGTGATGAAGGGACCATGGGTTTTAAAACCCGCATAAGGCAGACAGCTCTAAAAACTATTCTAAAGGTCATAAATTAGGTAGTCTCTTAAATGTAATTCAATCATCCACTTTGAAAGTAGCTAGATTCTATTAGTTGTCCCATGCATTTTACAAAAACAGAGCTCCATTAACATTATTCACTTATAGTTTCCATCTATAAGTAGATATTCTGCTCAACCAGCTTTAAATAGATTCTTTTTCCCCTTCTGAAATTGCCATTAAGCATATTTTTACTGCAAGGGCAAAGTAGGCATAGGATTATGCCTGACTCCATGCAAAGGATAGATTTTCAGCAAGCAGAACCACATTCCTATGAAGTAAAAATACTCCATATAAGCCGATTGTTTCTATCCTCACTCAATAAGGACTTGCCTCTGATCTTTAGCATTACATGCAGGTAGCCTCGTACAGATGAACAGGGGTGCTCTGTTACGGCACACCAGATTCAGATCCTGCTCCTTTGGGAGTTGAGATTACATCTCCCATTTAAGGAATTTAAAGTATGGCTGGGGAGTTCTAAGAGGCAGAGGGGAAGCAGGCTTTGGGAAGCCTTAAATCACCCTCTGGCTTCATATCAGTGCATTTCAAGTCACTGCAAGATGCAAGCTAGGCACACATTTCGTCACAAAATGCTATCTTGCAAATAGCAAAGGACACTCTCTTAGTCAGCTGAGAAGTGACTTTCCCATTAGATGTCAGATGAAAACGATTACGTTTGTTGTTGCAGTTATTGCTGTAGTTGATTTTGTTGTTATCCTACTCCCCCCCCCCCCAGTTAGCCCCAATGAGGTTTATTTATTTTATTTATTTATTTTGAATATTTGTACCTTCCAATCATCAGCAATTTGATGCCTCAATAGCTAAGAGGGGTATTTTTTAAGCAAGGTCCGTTTTGTTGTAGACACTAGTAGTTCGCGCGCATACCGCAACGAGCACGTGCGTCGTGTACCGGCATGCCTCGAGAACAACTGTGCTCAGTTTCCGCTTTGTAGCAAACCTGTACAGTTCTGTTCTGTGCTTTAAAAATGTTTAAGACTATCAACTCACCCTCTGCATGTGAGATTCGTCTCAGTGATACGGTTTTTGTCAGCAAGGAACCTGCCTGCTGCAGAAATTCATCGACAGATTTGTGAAGTGTACGGTGATACTGTTATGAGTGAAAGCAAAGTGCGTAAGTGGGTACGACAATTCAAAGATGGCTGTGACAACGTCCATTATGAGGACCGCTCCGGTCGCCCTTCTTTGATTACAGATGATTTGGTGGCTTCAGTTGAAGCAAGGATTCGTGAGAACAGACGCTTCATAATAACAATAATAAAAATCTTTGAATTGTCGTACCCACTTACGCACTTTGCTTTCACTCATAACAGTATCACCGTACACTTCACAAATCTGTCGATGAATTTCTGCAGCAGGCAGGTTCCTTGCTGACAAAAACCGTATCACTGAGCGAACCTCACATGCGGCGGGCGAGTTGATAGTCTTAAACATTTTTAAAGCACAGAACAGAACCGTACAGGTTAGCTACAGAGCGGAAACTGAGCACAGTTGTTCCCGAGGCATGCCGGTACATGACGCACACACTCGTTGCGGTATGCGCGTGAACTACTAGTGTCTACAACAAAACGGACCTTACTTAAAAAATACCCCTCGTATATAAATAAAAATGTAATGTTCGTTTGTGGGATTAACAGAACTCAAAAACCACTGGATGAATTGACACCAAATTTGGACACAAGACACCTAACAACCCAATGTATGTCCTTCACTCAAAAAAAATTATTTTGTCATTTGGGAGTTGTAGTTGCTGGGATTTATAGTTCACCTACAATCAAAGAGCATTCTGAACCCCACCAATGATGGAATTGAACCAAACTTGGCACACAGTTCTCTCATGACCAGAAAATACCGCAAGGGTTTGGTGGGCAATGTACTTTGGTTTTGGAGTTGTAGTTCACCTACATCCAGAGAACACTGTGGACACAAACAATGATGGATCTGGATCAAACTATACATGAATACTCAATATGCCCAAATGTGAACACTAGTGGAGTTTGGGGAAAATAGAATATTGACATTTGGGAGTTGTAGTTGCTGGGATTTATAGTTCACCTGCAATCACAGAACATTCTGAGTCGCACTAATGATAGAATTGGGCCAAACCTCCCACACAAACCCCCCATGTGGGCCACAGCAATGCATGGCAGGGGATGGCTAGTAATATAAATTGTATGTGTATACATCTTGTAAGCCGCTCTGAGACCCCTTTGGGGTGAGAAGGGCGGCAAAAAAATACCATAAATAGATAAATAAACATAACCAATGGACATAAATGGGTCATTAGTCCTTGGCACATTGGGAAGGGGAAAAGACTGGTCTGTAGTTCACATCCTCTAGCTTAAAAAGCACATTTGTAGATTGAGATTGGGCACATCTGCATGTGTATCTGGGATTTATAGTTCACCTACAATCACAGAGCATTTTGAACCCCACCAACGATAGAATAGGGCCAAAGTTCCCACACAGGTCCCTCATGTGGGCCACAGCAATGCGTGGCAGGGGACAGCTAGTCTTCAATAAAAGGATTGTTTTGCAATCAACGGTGTGGTATTTACAGTCAGAGGGCTTTTCCTGTCCTGGAGTGCAACAGCTGCCATATCATCCAGATTATCAATATGAGTCTACACTGCCATATAATCCAGTTCAAAGCAGATAATCTGGATTTTTATAGCAGTGTAGAAAGGGCCTCAGTTCTGGTACTGCGACTACTGGGAGGGAAGGAGGAAGCCAGCTAATACAAAGGCATCCTCCTCCCAAGAGTTGTTGCAAATAATAGCAATAGATCAAGCCTTGTAAACATCATGGAGTAAAGCGCTGCAGAAGCTCAGCTGGCAATCTGCACACTGTTCTTGCCTATTTTCTGAAGCTGAGCTCACACAAACTGGAGAATTTACACTCTCTGCTCCCATTAGGGTCAGAAAATAAAAATGGGAGTCCTTAAAATCATGTAATCTTATCCAGTAGCTATGGGAGTGGAAAGAGCACTTGTTGGTCACTTGTTGGTGTCTAAACACAACCCAAATGAAGCAATTAGCCTGGAAAAGTCTAGGGAAAAAAGTCTAGATGACAATGAGAAAGGCTAACATCTGTACTGTACTGCTGAGATTTACGTCTGTTGGAATTGCCGGGATTGGGTGAAGTGGAAACAACTGTTGGTGGCCCTGAAAGACCCAAATTCCACGCCTTCAGGCCCTCAAATGGAATGAGACATTATATCACTTGTTAATTTGGGTCATATTT